GTCTACTCTCAATAAACCTCACTAGGGTCATCACCCGACACTATCATTACATTCGCCTCACCTCTTATCTTACCCATCTGCTTATCATTCTTCTTAAGACAGTCCCTAATAATGTATCCAAATCTACCACAGCTGTAACACTGTCTAACACTAGGCTTTTCTCGTCCCTTACCCATTCTGATTACCACCCTCATCACTCGAGTCACTACTCGAATCACTATTATATTGAGCTTTACCTAAATTCATTTGCTTAAACTTCATTCTACTCCTCATCATACGTAACTCACCACTCCTCTTATATTCTTTTTCAACCCTAATCTCATTCTCCTTACTCTTAATGGAATCTATGATGTTACGCCTATGAATTATCACTCCATATTGGGTCATCTTATTGGACCCGAGCTAGGCCCATTAGTGTTGGGCCCCAAAGCCGAGGCTCTGAGAAGGCCAACCGAGGCGCAGCCGAGGCCCTAGAAGTCTAGCCGAAGCGCCTGTCGAGGCGCCTATTATTTTGCTCACCTCGTATTAGGCTCAGACTTGGGCCCACTAACCCGTTTGGCCCGCTTCACATCCATTTCTCTATATATATGGGTTCAACTCACACAATCAAGGTATGTTCTACATTCCTAGCCAAACCCCCATCGCCATATTATTGCACTCTATATATTTATTTCCGTCCGGCCGTTGACTGGACCGTCGGAGTGCAAACGGTTGCCGGACATTTTTCTTGTTCGGCCGCCTTTGCCTCTTGACGGGGTGCTACTTGCGCAGGTATCGAGGACTCGAGGCTAGGGAACCTGTTGGAGCCATTTTTGGAGGTCAACAGATTGGCGCCGTCTGTGGGAAACGCTATGTTAACCATGTTATACCACATACCTAAAGGTCACCGAAAATTGAAAAATTTCCGAGCGACAATGTTCTACCAAAAGATAAAAGACAGCAACCAGACGGGATGGGATTTTCTGGGTAGTTTCCTCTACCAAAACGATAGAGCCAGCCATACAAAAAGAAGACGAGTAACTTGTTGGAAAGAAAGGGGCAACACAAGAATCTACTCATGGGAAAAATGAAGGCAGATCTTGAAAGGAAATTTTCAACATCAAATTGAAGAATTCAACCACAAGAATGCAGGGGAAGAAGGCAGCCATTTGTGTTGATAAAATTAAAAATATTTGATAGCATCTCCAAGCATAAATCCAAGGAAAAAGGGAAGCCATTATTTCTCTCCAAATTTGAATTAAAAAAACCTCTCTTGCAACAACTGACTCTCAATGATAATGGTTTTACCTGCCATTTTACTTCTTTCAAATATTTGGTTACAGGAAAAGATGGGAGCTCCAGTGCAAATGAAAAGTAACTGAAAAATGAAAAGATAAGTACAGCTTGTTCCAATTAATGTTGCAAGCTCCGGTGACCACTTTGGAGGTAACCACCGGCATCACCAAGGACGAGAATGTCCAGCTTCGACTTTTGTCTACTGTCTCAACTATTATTGAAACCTCCATGACCTCCGACGACCACCATTATTTAAGTAGCTGCCACCCGCAACCCACCGGAAAATCTTCACAGCAAGGTCCTTGGCTAGAGCTCGAGTCTAGTTGTGTGCACATTAATGGTGATGGAGACAAGTCTGATGATGATTACTTTGCAAATGGTTCACGCCAGCTACTTTGTGGGAAAGAGAAACTGACTTTTCGGCCTAATTGGTACTTGTCAATTAACAGGTTGTGGAAGACATAATGATTATATATTGGTTAGTTATTGGGCCTCTTGGAAGAATTAATTGCTAGTTGATGGGCTTAGTAGATTGGGCAACTGTTTATGTAAAATTGGGCCCATGTTAATCTTTTGATTTAAAGTGACCAAAACCTTATTCTTTTAAATGGACCTTTTTAGCACATCTGTCCCAACTAATTTATGGTCTACAGAGATTTAATGGGCTTAAATTTTTGAACTTGATTGGACCAGCAAATTTATTTTATTGGGCCTCATAGCCTCCTTTTGTCTTAAAGATTAGGCTCAACTAGATACGTCAATTTCTTGGTTCTTTTTCTTGGGTTGGTACAACATATATTCTCACCTAAATCTATGAACTTTTCTGAAAGTAGGCTGTTCGCTTTGGGTTCTTGTCAGATATTTTAGCTTCTATCTATAAGCTTTTTGGTGGATTACTATTTATTATTTCATTGATTGGGCCTGCTACTTTTATTTGAGTCAACTGATTTAATTGGGTATATTGGATATTATTCTAAACTAACTCCTAGATTTATTTTCCATGGTACAATTGCTACTACTGGGCTTTGATTGGGCCTAAATCTGCTTTTCTTTACATGGGACAATATTTGGTGAGTTATTTTCTTCAAGTTCGGCACATCTTCTGGATTCTTTTCCTTCTACCTGAGTTGCCACAATTGTTTCAAATAACTTGAAGGCTACAAATAAACATCAACAACAACTTATACAAAGGTCATAAGCACACCAAGTGTTCAAAAATATATCGACATGGGATTTCTCTTATTTAAGGCACATTTGACTATCATCTCTATTACTCGAGGCAAGTTCTAAGACCTCGCATCTTTGAAACATCATCGCAATTGCTCAAGACGAGCCCTAGCTCATGAATTCCTTATCATTGGAGACAAGTCGAGCCGAACTTGTGGTTTTCTTATTGAAGACGAGCCTTAGCTTGTGAATATCTTATTATCAAAGGTAACATATCTTAGAGTACCTCGCTCCTTGAATAAAGCAACAGGTGATATATTTTGGAGTCCTCGGTCCTTGAAAAAAGGAAAAGGCAAATCGTCAGACGTGTTTGCCCTTGCAAAAGGAGCCTTTCTTGGCCTTATTTGCGGGATGCTTATTCCTCACCTCGCCAGATGTTTATCCCTGGCTTCACGGGATGCTTATTCCTCGCCTCACTATTGCCGAGCTTAGCTCTAAGTCCTCGTCTATTCGAGGCCAACTTATAAGACTCCGATAGTTCGCCAGATGTTCATCCCTGGCTTCGCGAGATGTCTTTTCCTCACTTCTCACTATCGTTGAGCTTAGTTATAAGACCTCGTTTGTCCGAGGCTGCTTATAAGACTCCGATAGTTTGAGAGTGATTCGCGGGATGTCCATTCCCCGCTTCGCCAGATGCTTATTCCTAACTTCGTGAGATGATTATCCCTCACCCTTCACTATCACGGGTCACCAGCTAGATATTTGTTCACCACTTCATGAGAAGCCTTGTTGTACGAATTACTGCATTATAGCCCCGCTTATGTTCAGAAAGGTCATCACGCCTCTACATAACAACTATCTACGTTCAGTTCAGAGTCTGCCT